ATAAACGATAGGTACAATAAAAAACGGACGAAGACACAATATTACAGCACTGCTCTGTAGTTGTATTATGTGTGCGAGATAATTTTTATCGATCAACTTTTCGGAACAATTCATATCTACACGTCGATATAAAAAGGCCAGGTTACAGGTAGCTATGGAAACCCTAGGGTCGCCGCCTACATATAGGTATACGACAAACTTTATACTTTTAATTACTATTAAAATAATTAACTTTTTGGAATTTTCTCTTTTGATGGCTCATATAAGCACCGAGTACTTTCGTTTAAAAAAAAAATTGTGAAAATCAGCCCGGTAGAACTTCAGATATAACTGTCACAAGAAAACGCCTCACGTTTTAATAATATATAAAGATGATGTTAATTATAAAAAATATATGGGTTTATAAATAGTTTACAGTTTTAAACGTTTAAAATAATACATATTGGTACGGTCCAAATAATATTGAATACAAGTATAAAAATTAAAAATGTAACTAAGAAATATAATAATAATTTAATAATTTGAATTTATTTAATACAGATAATATATTATGCCCAGGGACAATATGCTCTTAGACTACTCTCCCGGAGCCCTAGGGCTCCGCGGAGCACAGTTTGAGAACCGCTGATATATATAATTTATATAACCTTAAGTTATTCATATAAACAATAGACTAATTTTATTTACCTACTGAAAATTCCATTAATATGTCATAAAAATAAAGTAAAAATAATGGAGAAGAGAATCACCGTGTTTCTTAAAAAAAAAACTCCAGACGATATTGCTTCATACTTTGATATAAAACAGTTCAAAACCTTTCCGTTAAGTAAAATACATAATAATAATTTAAACCCTGATGGAATAAGGTCATCTATTTCAAGGTTTTATACATTTTTTTTCTACTATAGAAATGATAGGTTGACGGCATCAAACGCTTTGAGTGCGTTGTATTTTATGATTCACTGAAATATGTAATAATTAATTTTTGGACCACTATCATGGTAATACACTTAAGCCTATTAAATTTGACAACATTATGGAAGTAATAAAAATAATATCTCGCCATAAAGATAATTTAAAAAACAGAAAATTCTTAACGTTAAAATCAAATATGACTGCATCTGTAAATATAATAATAAATAATAATATAACATTTTAAAGTACCTGTATATAGAAGACGAAAAATGGGAAAATATATTTTGAATTCTTGATAGATTTAAACAAATATACACAATGCACGTACCTATTCTATTTGAATAAAACATACATCAAACATTATTACTGTTTCTACGAGTATATATAAGGATGTGAACCTAACCTATAGATATATTGTATGTATATAAATACTATGTACTATATACTATGTATATTGTATATAATTATTTTTGTATACATATATAAACAGTCGTATAATACGCATGGATAGTGTTAATTAATTTTAATCAACGCATTTATATTTTGATGATTTGTGCATTTCTCAACTCAAATGATTGCTTTATGAAATGGAACAACTTTATGTGTTAATTTATATTATATTATATAATATGCAAACTGTGAAGTGTAAAGTTATAATCAAAGTTTTGGAACGTATTGAGAGAGTCTAAATACAGAAGACCACGAAGACAAGAATAGTATGTTTTCTAAAAGTTGAAATTTATTAAATTAGTAATATAATTTTTTTAAATTAAATAAAAATCGATATTATTCATTTTTTTAACGATGATATTATTATATAATTATTCATATTATACATAACATATTACCTATATAGAATCTTAAAGATTTCAAGGGTAGGTAACTTCATAATAATTTTTTGCTTTTGGTGATATTTTTCTTCATTTCAAAATTTGTTGGTTTTAATAATTCTTTAATTAAATTAGAATTAATTTAGAATCTTTTATTCCTTTTTTTTTTGGTTGGTCGACTGTATTAATATAAATATTTTATTGGCTTTATTATGCTCAAAAAATTAATGCCCAAGATAATTTACCAAGTATGTTTATACTTTAATGGTTAATTTATGACTACCAATGATGATTTTGTATTATTTTTATTACGTAAAACTACATACTAGGAGTTCGAGTTTGCACGTGCAACATCCGTATGAAAATAAAATATAAATAGGTGCTTAATAAAAATCCTAACTTAATGTCTTTCTTAGGTTAGAATGTCCTTATATAAGTATTTAAGATGCTTTGTAATACTAAAGCTAGGTAATGGAATCATGAAATATTCTATATAAAATCAATAACGTTACGATTTTTGTGTAAAAACATTACATTATTAGTAACTACATTACATTTCACTCAACGGTCTGTCCAATGTTTTTAAATATTGGTTATGTTTCTATTTTAGCGGTATTTACTATTTAGGCATTTAGCTTGTGCATAACATGTTTCCCCATTCCATCTTTGTGAATAGTTTATTACCTTGTTTGATGTTTTAGTTAGTATTATAATATATAGCTATACTAATGTCACGTTAAATCTTATCTCCATGTTTGCTTTTACTATAATAGCAGTAAAAGATATCCAGGCGAATTAATTACTAAGGTTATTATCTTACAATCGTTGACTAAGAAGCGTTAAAGTATTTGTACTTCATAAATTATTTTACTTTATATATATTCGATAAATTTCAATAAAATATAATATACTGCATAGCGCATAGCATATATAATATTATAAACAAGGAGAATCTTGTATTAATTTTTCAATATTTTTAACCGAACAAAATATTATTTATTGACAATAAAAGAAAAAAAATTAAAGATAAATAAAAAATTTCTTATGAATTTGAATAGTTCAAAAAAATATTTTCACAATTGTATAAATTAAAGAAAACATTAATATAAATATTTGAATAATATACAAGTATATATTTATGCATTCGTTTTTAAATTATAAAAAATCGAAATTGTAAAAAACTGGTTTTGTGAAAATTGTTTTTTTGCTCTTCCGGATGATGCTTTTGAAAAGTATTGGGAATTTCACATACTTCACACCCCTTCCTTTCAAGTACTAACTGTATTGCCAGAAGAGTTGCTAAAGTTCAAAATCGGAGCATTTTTTCTACTATTAAAAGAGTTTCCATCCATAAAAAAATCATTCATAGTTTAAAAATTAATACGTTTATCGCACCTCTCAGAATCTAAAAGTATTTAAACACAAAATACAAGTTACAAAAGTTTTTTAATCCAAGTTATATTACTCAGTTAATGTCTAATTCTGTGTAATTTATATACTTATTAAATTTACCTAATTATAATGTAGGTATCAAATATTCCAATTAAATGTTGAAAATCGGGTCAATTCGGGTGTAAAGCCTGAGCCATATTCAGTGAATTGAACAGTACAATGTATTGGTATACCTTGTACTGTAGAGTTAACAGTTCAACCCTAAATAAAGAATTTTGGTTTAAACTTTAAACTGTAAAGCATACTTATTTAGTGAATGAATTATTTGCCGTTTGTATCCATTTAGTGTCGATAATATTAACTTGATTGAAAACATTACTTTAATAAACTAAAAATTAACGTCGAGAAACCAAATTCAAAATTTAAGTCCAAGTATCCAATTATTAGTTTTTGTTTATACACCGTAAAAATAATAAAACGATTGAAACAATCCAAACTTTAATTATTTTTTTGTTATTTTAATTGGAAAGATTGGATATTTTTTATGTAATTGTGCATTAGTCACGTCAAATTTTATTTAAGTGTCCCCTTTAGATTTGAAACCTATCAAAATGTTAGAAATATTCCGGATTTTCATTCTAGTCTTATAGCAAGAGAACTTGCTTACTGATAGAAGGAATAAAAATAAATCAATACTAGGTATAAACTTATACAGAATATTGATGTGTTTCAAAATACCCAATAAAAGGATAAGTTTAACAGTTTTTAGATTGCAAGACATTGCTTTTATTATATAAATATATATATTTTTATTTTTATTTATAGCTACATCGATATATTTATAATTTCTTTATATTTACCTATGTATATTTAAAATCTACAGATCAGTTGTATATATGTATATATGGTTCAATAGGTAAGTAACAATGGTTATTTTTTAAAAATCCATCTGCTTAATATGATTGTGAATATTACAATGATGGTTGTAAACCAAAGATACATGCATTGTATTGTATACCTATGTATGCATGTGTATTTATATCTAATAGCTTATATGGTAGATCTTTATTTATTATATGGAATTAACTACTTAGGGTATAAATAAAAATGTATATAAATTTAAAAGTAGGGACAGCAGTTGTATTATGCATTTATTCCTAGGTTATTGGAAAAAAAACAACCAAAGGACTTTTTATTATATAAAATAATGTAATCGGGTGTTAGTGGAATCCAATAACTATCACAAAATAATTTAACGCGATGAACTCGAGTAAAATGTTTTAATTAAAAATTAAATATATAGGTATTACATATGTATAAATATAAATTTATTGCTGGTATTAGTTGTACTTATATACCGATGAGCCTAATTGATATTTTTTTAAAACCTATTTGCGTAGTTTATGTTGGGCAGAATGTAATGTCCTCCGGAATAAGGTGTTAATATATATATTTTACAGGATTAAAATAGTTTTTATGATTATTTTTTTAATTTTTTTTAACACCATTTCATCGTTCGCAGGGACTACGGGTCCCTTTTTTGTTTACCCGTAGGTACCTGAATAAGACAAATGAATCATCGCGTTTCACGTAATACTCAACTTAGGGGCAATGTTTATAACGCCCGACCCCTGACTCATTTAATGCCGTGGTTTTTATATTTCCCTGTCAAGTTCGATGGCCAGTCGTCATCAAACCACACGCACATGGCAGTGAATCATGCTGAGCTCGCTGGCGATCCCCACCAAAACGATTTTAGACACATGAAAAATATATTCGGTTCACACGCACGCACGCACACACACACACACACACACACACACACACACACACACACACAACACACGTGCACGCACGAGCCTCTTGTGTGGAAGAAGTAACAATACCGATGCGACTGCCAAATGGCCCAGTTGCTTCCATGTGGTTTTGACTTTACGATGTACTGTCGAGCGCGCGTTCACGATTTTTGAATTCAATGTGTGATGCTTAGACCAATGTCCGGAAAATATTATTCGTTCGAATCGAAGTGATTAGTGCGGCATAGTTGTATTGTGATTTGTAATTATTCGATTTAAAACGAAAATGAACGTTAAAAGATGAAGTTGTTAATGTTGATTTTGTTCATCGCTCAAACTGTATACCAAATCAGAGGTAAACAATTTAAATAATTTAAAAACAACATTTTTTTTTATGCGAATGAGTTTAAGTTTAAATATTTGTTATGTATCATTTATAACTATTTAGGCTCAATTCGAATAAACATTACTTCGGTTTAATATCATTTTTACATTAAAAAATGTCGAAGATATACATATTTTTAAATAGTAATTACTGTATTTTTAGTGTTTACCTTATGTATTTAATATTTACCTATCCAAATTAATTGAATTCTTTAAAACATATCGTTTCATGTTTCAGCAAAATACTATTATACAATTGAAAATGTTGTAATAGTGCATAATATAGTATTCAAGTTATAACTATAGGTAATCTAATGTTCCGTTAGTTAAATTTTTAATTGATCACCTAAAAAAATTGAGAAATAGTTTTTAAAAAAAGAATAAGATTTTTTGGTTAGGTAAATTTACCGGAATAAAAATAAGCCATCAAATTGGCGTAACAACATTTCGTAGTATTTTGAAACTATTAAAACTTATACTACTTTAAAGAAGTTTTGTGAAAAGCATGAATTGTATATATTGTTTGCATTCACATGAGTTATTGGGCCTGAAGTGGGTCAAATACATTATAATAAGTTTTGAGTGGTATGAACATTTTAAGTTCAAAGTAAGCAAGAGTAAATCATTCAAAATTAGACACGAAAGTAAGATTTTTTCAATTTCTCTAATTTTAATCCAAGCTTGAAATATAAGTAGAAAACCATAATATATATATATAACTTATGTAGTTTATTAGCGAGTTGTAATGAATGGGCCATGAACATTAGCCAAACATTTGGGTTACAAAAGCCAAATATTAATTAATATTTTCTCAGTGCTTTTTCATTTTATTGTACGGATGTCACAAGTCATTAGTTTGTTACCATAATTTTTCTTTTGTAATGCTATCACACAGTTCCTAACTATCATTGAGGGTTCGTAAATGTTTAAACTTGATTTGCAATGCGGAAATAACGTATAATTGCAAACATAGTAATATTTATAATAATTGTGTCAATGGGCCACACGTCCAAACATATAGTAATTACATAATTACTTAGATTATAATATATAACTGCTTAATTACATAATTACTTATACCTACTCGAGTAATAAGATAAATAGCGTAGACAATTGTATATTTTTATAATTATTAGGAGCTCGTAACATTTTTATTTTATCTAATTAGTTGTTAATTAATTGTTTAGTTTTTAAAAATTAAAATGAATTTCACAGATTTTATGACTTTTACCATGTGTTAAATATATTTATGTTTAAATAAGTGTATCTAATTTACAAAATGAGCTAATATAGTTCCTATTTTTAATACACCAATACCTATTACAGGTAGGTATTATAGGTAACATCAGATATCACACTTTGCCTCTGTGTAAGGACGTACTATGAAGTTAGGTATACAAATTTCTATATATTGTATTTGCATTTCATACTATTATGAAGTGAAATCAAATTATTGTTTTATATTGCATTGTAAAAATTACTATTGCTTCCAGGCATCAAATTTTGATGTACTCGATGACTTTTATAGAGTATTTCCAAATTTTAATGCCGCTTAATGTGTACTACATCTTCTGAAGTTGTATGTTAATTATTTATTAAAAACGCTCCAAGTACTATAAACAATAGTTTGGTTTAAATCCCTTGGAGCCTTTAAAAGTAACCACATTGACTAACCTATAGTATCTAATGCTCTTAATATTAATATTATATTGGACACGTTGTAGTATAACACTAAAACTGTCACAAATAATGTATATATATATATATTATTATTATTTATAAGTAATTCGTCTTATAAGTTCCCCGTTAGAAATCCATATTGTTAGTACTGACTACTGACTAATGTAGGATTTTTTAAATCTAATAGTAATTTATAACAAATCATTTTAAACACGAAACACCCACTGTTGAAATTAGTAATTACAGTGCCTAATATAACTTTTAATATAGAAATATCGTGTTACAAGAAATTATAGTAGTTAATGCGCATAGTCTGTTTGATTCCCCTAAAACTACTTAGCATTAAATGGTGATTACAAACACTTTTTTTAATAGGGGTTAAGCATTAGGTATAACTTATAGTGTCTTAGTCATACAATTATTATACAATAACATTATGAAAACGGAAATAGTAATTTTGTAGAGACTCGACTTCCTGTAAAATATCGTTTTGTTAACATTATTATTTATGTAATAATCTACAAGTACATTATACAAATTTATTGATTTAAAGGAAATATAGGAAAATTAGGGTAATGATAAAAGTGTAGTTGTGGGTATCTATCTAATACTTAATATTTCTATATTAATAATAAAATAATATAAAATAGTTCTATACATATATCTGTCAAGTTAATATCTTTTGAATTAGATATTACAATGATAATATTCAATTTATATTATTGTATTTTATACATCGCTAATTCATGACGCACAATATTGAGGTTTTATAGAAATGTATAGAATTATTTGTATGAAACTATTAATTATAAAAGTATAGGGAAAACCCATCTAATAAGCATTATGCTGTTTCATTCTCGTTACTCTCTGCAGTATTTCCGAGCTTAAAATGTAATATAATTTAAAAATCAATAATTTTTAATGCCATACTCTATAATGAAATCCAATACTTATAAATTGATATTACTTAAACCAAAAACACAAGCCATTAACAATATGTGATAAATATTGACTGCACCGGGAAAATATAAAAATATAATATGTATTACAAGGTTAGGTTAGACGTGGCTTGGGGAGAGTCGATGCATAAATGCATAATCTATACTAGGTAATATAGTAATAGTAATATAATATAAAAGCTGAAGAGTTTTTATGTTTGAACGCGCTAATCTCAGAAACTACTTGACCGATTTCAATAAAAGTTATATCAATAGATTCCTTGGGTCTTGGTGGATGTTGTAAGGTTCTGTTTTCAACCTCCATAGGTTGCCGACTCACAGTTTCACACATGAATTATTTAGTTTTGGCACATGAAAATCGATTAACTTTTTTTATTTATATGATGATTTTTATTCATTAGTCACATCGGTTAAAGATAATAATTTTAAAAAAAATTACTATGGACTGTACCCCGTGCGTTGCTATGAAATATTTTTTTCAAATATTTTTTAATTTATTGTTTGTTATTCAAATATGAGCAAAAGTCAATATTCTTATGTGTGTAGAGTATAAACGCAATAACTATTTGATGGACTTTTACAAAGGTTTCAAAGGATACAAATATTGTATTTTTAGAAATATTAGAAAAGTTTAAAGAGTTGTTTGAACCACGTTCGAAAGTATACCAAGTGATCTATCGAATCTATATTACCTACGTGTATTGCCAATCTCGGACGAATTAGTTCAGAATTCGAGATACACCATCGGACCATCGGGTGATTTGCCAGTGAACTGAGGTACACTAAAACCGAGAAGCTAGATACACAGATATAGCGCCTTATTTTATTTTGTTTTTTTTTTCCTGGGCGAAGTCGGGTTTTACAGCTAGTTTAATATGAAATAAATAAAATTGGTACAGGCCATATAGTAATATTTTATAAATACAATTCATAAAGAATAAAGATAACAATATCTCTTGAAGTGGTAGGTTAAAAATATCTTGAAAATTAATATAATAATTTATTAATAATAATAATACTTGCAATCCTCCATAAATGTATTGGTAACCATGGCAACAGATTCGTGACTGCTATGATGTTTTTTACAAAGGTAAGGTTAGGTTAGAAATCGAATTACTCGTACAAGGACGGAATTTGAAATAACTGAAAATTCGATTGCGTAAGATATTGAGGTGCTCGTATTATAGAATAATAGAATACAGATGGATTACAATGAATTTAGTTTATAAATAATAATTTACCACTTTCGGATATAATGTTTAATTACAAACAAATGCGGTATAATATCTTTCAAGTTAGGCGGTGGTTGTGATGGTACTATATTATACTACTGTTATGGTGTAGTGCATCTGTTTTCACACCTATTCGCACATGTGTTTACCCCTTTGCCCTTACACCGTTCCCGTCAATATGGCTTAGGAATTTCTCCGTACAGCTTTGTGGCAAGAATCTGTATAGGAAAAATATTCTACTTAAACCTCTATTCCGGGAAAAATACAGATTATTTTGTACTTTTTTTAATTTTAATTTAATTTTTTTTGTATCAATCTCCGCTGTATCCAACAGTTTTTTTTCGCTTTTAACACCGTTTCATTCCTACACGCTTCCGATTTAAAAAGGGATTCCTGACCTCGTGACCGTCCACAGAAATGCGTTCGTTCTTTTTTTACAACAATCTATATAATACTACAGTTGCGTACCATCGCCGTTCGTGCTTCGACGTTTAAGTATAATAATATACTTCGTATAAATACTCATAGGATTTCTGTTATTGCCCATTGTTTGGTTTTTATCTATGTTCAGTGTTAGTAGTCAATACCACCAAATGTAATATCATATAGTAAAATCTATACCTATAGCCAATTTTTTCCTTAGAACAACTTACTGTGAGGGGCGAGTAGGGGCCACTTTACGATTTATATTTATTCACAAAAAATATCTTATGATAACGAACGCTCAAGTATTTATATGATATTTTCTATACCTGGCTTTCGTACGCATACACCCTAATCATATATTTATACATTTTCGATTTTCTAAATTTGGTTATCTCGGATTTGTTCTTGAAATCTAGACTCGATCATATTTTAAGGATTGTAGCTGGCTGGAGCCTGGCTATGTGCATAATTCCCATTTCGGTAAAAATCAGTCATTTGTTTATTTGTTTATTGCAGCGTTCAGATAGTATTTTTTAAATAAATTAGAATGATCAATAGTAGCCATAATATTTGTTACATTTAAGTGGGGTCAATATTTTAATGGGTTATTAAAAAAAAAATTTTTTTGTTTTAGAATTAATTTGATTTTTGATTTTTAATAGATTTTGATATTG